AATTTCAAAATAATGCTTAATAGCAAAGTTGAAATTCGATCTTCAACTGTTAATATCTTCTAGAAATTTTCGAAAAAAGAATTTTCAATATTTTTCTCGTACTCCCCAAGGGAGCCTCTATTACCCCTTAAAAGGAATGACGCCAATTTTGAATCACCCTGTATGGACGCAAAATAATTTTTTTATTAATATTAAGACGGTTAGGTAAGAACGTGGTCCAACGTTGTCATATAACCGATATAATTTTATAATAAAATACTCCACTTGCAGTCATGTGTTTCACATAATCTGATACATGTCTGATCAGTGCATTTAAACGTTAAACTTACAATAACCGGTACTGACGAATCAATAATTACACTGTCGGGTACTAAATGATAAAAACCTGCTTTTCTCAAGTCCTGTTAAATTACCGCTTGAGATGGTTTTTGATCTAGTAAGCTGATATATTGTAAGAAGGAAGCAATGTTTTAATTAACTCCCTGCAAATAGGAAAATGGGTCAAAAGCTTTCAAAATTTGAAAAATTGATACAGCAATTGCATCAGTTAATCACACCGACAATCGTAACAATTTGTACATACTTTCCTGACTGTGTTTCAATTCCAAATCAAAATCAATTCCTGGGTTTCAGTCATTTATTGTCTATTTATCAATTAAAATACGTCTAAGATTTTCAAATATTTTATTTTATTCTGTCCGTTCCCAAAATTAAATTCCCTTCTCCTCACCTGAAGCCCAGGAATTGATTTTTATTTGGAATCGTAACAATGAAATAAAATTTGCATATAGGTATGTTGAAATTTGAATTGTTCTATTCTGTTTTTGGTTTAGAAATTATATGGAACGGTAAAACAAGAAAACAATTAAATATTTATTTGTTTGATCGTCATCTTAATCACACACCAATATTTTAAATGAAACTATGCTCTTTTTACATTTCTTTAACAAACGTTAAGTACATATGTTATAATCTACATGTTATCTGTCCCGGTTAAACAACCGATTTTTTAATCATCTATTGGAGACACATTTTTTGACATAATAGAAAAGTGTTATACATTTCTGGTTTTTTATGTAGCCATCCTCAATATTACTATACAAAGGAACAGAAATCCACAATGAATCCGAAATATTTTCCGGAATTAAAATACACATTAAGAGAAAGTTCGCCATTTGTACACACTGAACACACTTACCCCGAGTGCTTGATAAAGGTGTGCAAACACACTCAATTCTTTAAAAAATGCCACACAATACTTTTTTGTGAAATTGAAAGTATTGTAACTTTTGTATAAATTAACTCATTTCAATGTTTTTTTGGGTTATACAGTAATTGCTTGTAAGCGCAACAAATGTTGATCGGTTATTTTCCATGGCAATGATTGAGGTAAGTGCGATATCACTTGGCTTGAAATACCACTGGCCTTAAGGCTAAGCATCGGAAGCCATCAGAAGAAGAAGTTCATACAACACAATCAAGAATAATAAATTTAATTTCGAGTAAGCCAAACAGACCACTCTTTTACTTTCCTTTGTTGTGCTGTTGTTTTTTTCTTGTGTTTGTTTATTAATTTTTAGCTCACATTCTGTGAAGAACTGTGTTATTACACAATGCAGTTAGTAAACATGCTGTAATTTTGTTAACTTTCGCCATAACACAATGATTAAAAGATAAGCCTTTATAAAGAGAAGTAGTTTCAAAAGATTTAGCTGCATTTCAGTCTCAAGTTAAATTGTATCGCACAGATGGTCTCAAAAAAAATATACAAAAACATTTTACAAATGACACAAAAAACCTATTAAAATCGGTTAATTTGTATAAAAGTTACAAAACTTTGAAAGTTACTCAAAAATTAAGTGCGCCCCTATTTTTGGAACCTTGGTGTGGTTCGTATCTGTATTTACACAAAATATTTATATACTTGAAAGTTTCTTGAAAGAAATTTTAGAATATTTTATGGTCAATTAAGCAACTTTAATTTCATTTGCAATTTCGTTACGAAGCTAAGCTCACAATGATTTAAATTATGGATATTTCGGCTTCCAAGAAGCGAAGATAAAACAAGTGAATTTTTTTATAAAGTATTAAGACTATAAAACCATCCTTAGAAAAAATATAACGTTCGAAATATAGTAACAGCGGTTTTTATATTCAATTAATTGGGCAGGATTACTCGTCTATCAAACTTTAAATCAAGAATAGCGTCTAAATATTTAAACATAATTACAAAACTCCTGAGGTGTGTTTTTGATCAATTGAAATGATTAAAGATTAATTACTTGTGTGTTTCTATCAGTTGCAGAGCTCAGTTTCAATTTCATCGGGGGCGTTGTTTTATTGCCCATTATTACACAGTGTGTCACCGAATTAATTCAAAGAGTTAATTACTTGCACTCTCGATGGATTAACATAATTGACCTCAACAAAATGTGACAATTCAATATAAGATTATTACATTAATCTATTGTTTACCTGTTTGCTTACTGTGTCTGTGGTGCATCTGAAGCTGAAGAAAACTGAACTGCTTAGAAACAACTCAATAAAATTAAAATGTTCAGTTTCTGGATATGCATCTTAGCAAACATGCAGCTTATGTGCAGTATCGATGAACTAAATATTTAATAATGTTCCTTATGCCAAATATGTGGAAAAGTTACATTGTAGAGATTGTAAAATGGAGTAGGCAGCGTTGAAATTAAATATGGAGATATTGGTTGAATGCAACATAAACTAAACATTGTTGAGGTTTCTGTTATTTAATCAACCGCATTAATATCGTTTTGCAAGCTCATCAATCATATTAAGTAAGAAAGAAAAAACTTAAACAAAATGAAGTCGTCAAAGATTTAATTAAAGTTCGGAAATCCCTTCATTGAATCGAGATAATTGAAAATATAATATGTTAGCAGATATATCGGGAAATGGTCTGAACAATTAAAAAGCAGCTCTAAATATTTATAGCCGAATCGATTACTCAAGCTTTCGAAACTAAACCAAATTACGAATACTATGAATCAATAATATGTAAAATTCAATTTTATTTTAAAACCCCGTTTCACAACATACTCCAGAAAGCAAGCTGATAGATTATGCCAATATGATTTGTTGTCAAAAGCGCTAAAAAAAGCATTAGAATAAGTACATTACATCTGAGAACCACTGTATATATTCTGCAAGGTGGACATTCGGTGAAAAATAACACACATATGAGATTCTTACCACAAATCCTCTTTGTGAAAAATTAGTATTTGATTTAAAGAAAACGGTTTATGTCCCACACTATATAACAATAATTTCCTACGTAATTTTTAACTCGGTGTGTTTATTTCATGATTTCATGCATTCTTAAAATTTTATGTACACATATTTACATATTAATTAATCTATTAAAATTATTTGGCTAATAATTTTATTTGGGTATTCAGTTTTCAGCTAAACGTAGGTACATCATACTCTTCGACGTAAGTAATTGAAATAAAATGATTGTGCAAAGTGTCGTCATTTCAAGATGAAAATAAATCTGTAAACCTTTTTTCGACCTGCATGTGATCCGAACGGGTCCGTATCACTTTCAATACAATATTCCCTGTTTTTCGCTCTTTTTCTAAATTCACAATATCCGGCTTGCTTTTATCTGGGTGCATGCACCAGCAGAAGGGTCAGAAGAAATCCCATCTTGGAAATTTCCAATCGCTGGTTATCTGTAACAAAGAAAAAATAAGGGATAGCATTTTTCAGAAATTTGTTTAGATTTACCAAACATATTTCTCTCGCATCCGTATGAATAAATAACGAAAACCGTATATGAAAAGTTTTATTATGCAACAATGTAATGGGCTACGTGCCTGTTTAATTAAAAAGTGAATAACAGTTGCAAAGCAATGCAAGACCGAGGCTTAATTTTAATATTTTTGTCATTTAAGAGATAGAATGCTGTATGATTAATAAAAGCAAATTTGTTTTAAATGAGATCTGAAAGCGTAAAGTCGTTTAACTAAAAAGTTTCCTTACCGAGCTGCAGGTATTCATTTAAATTACTTAGAATGATACACGTACCATTACATTGTATATCGTCTTATAAAATGGGTCGTTTACACTTATACCAAAAAGCATTTACTTTACATATTTACAGGGTGTTACGAATTTCAGGTGTTAGCATTGGGATCTCGCAAATCGTTAGAGATAATAAAATAGTGTTTTAAAAGTTAAAAACAAGGAATAGGCTAAAACAGGGAGAGATGACGCATGTTTTGGAAAACGCACCAAACATCTACATTTTGAATATGTATTATAAATTTAAACTAACGAAAATCACTGCTCTGTTTGTTATTTCTTTATTTTATTAAAGTTATTACCCGTTTTCAATAAACCATTTTGGGATTAAAGGTCTTAATAAACATTTTTTGTGATTTTATCAACTTCCATTAAATTCAAAAGTAGCCAGATATTATGTCCACTAGAACAAATAAATTATCCCAAAACAAAGCTATTATTTGTAAAACGGATACACGGAGACCCAAAGAAACGAATAACGAACATTTTTATGTTAGGACTTTTTAAGTGAATCACCGGAAATATAAAGCTGTACGTTGAATCCTGAAAAGTACCTTTGTTAGACGTAAAAAAATTGTTTTCTTAATTAATTAAGCTTTTTACCAAAGACAATGGAACTGTAGGCATGTGGCTTCTTTAATTTTAATAGAGTTCATCTCATGTACGAGGCAATTTTGAAATTAATAACAAAAAAACGACTTTCTAGTCGCATCTTTGAAAGGTCAGATCTTTGTAAAGAGGAAAACTATTATAAAATAGAAAAATACTGATGTAAATATGAAAAAAAAAACGAAATACGATAATGCACGCTAAAATATTCCGCATACTTTTACGGCCGCTGCTTGGATTTACAGATAGAAAGTGGATTACTAAAAGTAGCGTTTTATGTAAGATATTGTCACAACCTCTGTTAGTTTAACTTCGAAGTTCATTCCATTTTAACCAGGAAAAAATATTTGATAATTATTAATCCAAGGTGGTTCTTCATGTAGCCTCATCAATTCGTTCCCATAAGAATGATATGAATGTTGAACAAAATAAAAAAGGTTTGGATGGAACCACACTTTTGTATTACCTTCGATTCTATGACATTTATGATTGTAATAGCACACAATCTTCATATCGACGTCGAGAAGACGATGGGTTGATTTTCTATGTATTTTCGCAAAACATCGGGCTTCATCTGAGTATTTCTTTTATTATTTCATCACGTGTTATATATTTTCATCTCCAGTAATCCCGAGAAAATAAATCACAATGTTTCGGAATGCAGTGAACAGTTTCTATTAAATTGCCTTTTCGTGTAACTTTTCTTGCAATACATCACTGGTTTTATATTGAAATGCTCCTAAATCATCCAAATAAAATGTTTATAAATTTGGCAGCGAAAAAATGCTTAACAATTGGTGGTTTTATTCGCCATTTACTGTAACTGCAAATATTTCCTCATATAACAATTCCCGGAAGCAAAGATGTCTCATGAACCTGTTGTTTGTTGTGAATTGTCTTCACAACAGAACGTTAAAATTGGTAAGCTGCCTCATCTGACAAGATGGTTTTCTTTCAAAATTGCGATCCTTTCTTTGTTTTGAACTGCATGCAACCGAACCTTGACGATGCCGATGGCTCATGGCTGCTGCTTTTGGCTCAAAACAATTATGTGCGGATGCAAAAAAACTAAATGTAGATAATAATTAACTGGATGCAAAAAGCATTTAATTAATATAAAGTTGGCTGCTTTTCCTTTGCTTCTTAATTCTCGACAGACCGGAAATTTCAATTTGGCTTCAGATGCATGTAAGCCAATAAAAGTGTACCGAAACAAACATTAATTAAATTCTACTATTTTGCAATATCAATATCTGAACAAAAAGAACAATGGATTAAAAACCGAATTGAATTTTAATCGCATCAAATAAAAAGTTTTAGCAGTTCAATGGTTAAAAAGTTTATAAAGTGAATTTTCAACATATGACATTAATATGTACATTTTATATGCAACTGAATTATGCAAAAGAAAATATTTATCATACATTTCGATAAATTTATGTGTGTTGTCAGAGGAGTTTTTCCAGTTGCTGGATAATAAAGTGAATTTCTCTGTTTAACTAAACATTGCCAGTCTAGTAAGTTTTTAAAGCTATTTCATTTAAAATCGAATGAAAACTACAAGCATTGAAATCGACGTAAAAATATTATCATTTGCTAAACATTGCGTCTGTAACTTTTAACGTAAAAAAATATGTTTTTATTCGAATGAATCAGAAAATGGTACTTTTCGCCCAAAAGCCATGAACATTAAGAAATACTTTTAATGTGTTCTTGCATTTCGTAAAGGAGCATGTCATTTGTTTCTTTTTCACACATTGTGAAAAACAAACGAAGCTAAAAACGTTAAACCAAAGTTCCTGTAAGTTTCAAAATCTTCGCTACACAATGGAGATTAATTATTAATATTTTTAACTCAAAATATTTTTCTTGGGTCTTCTGCACATTCTATCACAAATTGATAAAGAGTGATCTTAATTCGCCATAAAGAACGCTATTAGTAAAGACATTTATTTAGAAAACTTTCCTTAACGTTTGTAACACGTTCGAAGATTGATTTTGCTATTTTCATCAAAGTACTGGGAGGCGTCTCCTCCCAGTACTTCAAATAGAGCGTACTGGGAGGAGACACTGCGACTCCTTACCGCAAGGCAGTTTTCAGCAACAAGTGGTCCTGTAGCCTAAAACGAACTGCTAAAACGCAAAAAACAAGGAGGATAGTGGCCTTCTTAACAGGACACGTCCCCTGCAAAAAACAACCTTTTCAGGATGGGATTAGAGGACGAAACCCCTGCAGGGGATGCGGATTAGAGGACGAAACTACGCTACATATTATGTGTCACTGCACGCATATGCAACAGGTAGGCGAATACTCCTGGGTGGGGATGAAGTTCTACCAGACCGGGTCATGCGTACCGCCCTGAAGATTCTTCTGGAATTCATTGAATACACAGGGATAATGAGGGAGTAAAATACGAGGGCACATTAGGACAGAAATGACCGCGGTGCTAGGCCAAACACCATGTCGGATCTGAAGAATCGGTTTTAGTGGGTAAACAGCTAGGCTGGAGTCCTACACAGCCCAGAGCGCCAGATCATCAGCTCTGGGTGTGCGTAAGAGAGCATTTCCCAAACCTCACCAGAAAAAAATATTCTAATTTATTTCGTCTTTATAGACTTTCAAAAAAACATTTGACTCCGTTGAAACAAAAGAGGTCCTGCATGCGATGGATAGAGCAAGGATTAACCCAAGATTTTCTACCCTTCTTCAGAATATATACAGAAGCGCAACTTTCCGTGTAAAAATTAGGAAGACCTGAGAACCGAAAAAATTCCAATTAACAGGAGAGTTCGCCAGGGTGATCCTATATATTAGATTAGATTAGATTAAATTAGATTGCAGATAACGTCGGACTAAGAATGAATTTATCAAAAACAGAAGTAATGAGCAGGACTGTGGAAAATATAAGAATAAAAGGCCAAACTTTGAAAATTGTTGACTAATATACAGGGTGCGTCAGCGAAGCGAGACCCCCCTCATAGATCGTACGGAAATAGCGACTGAAATAAAAGGTTTTAGAAAAGTGTTGTGGTTGTTGTCAAAGTATTTGTTTCTGTTAGTTTGAAGCATAAAGTGTAGCTCAAAATAAAATGGTAAGCGTTAAGTTAATTTTTTTAATTGAATAGAATATATAATATAGTTACAGTCGCCTTATCACTAAGAC